CTCTCTTTTGCATTTCCTTTCTTGGTATTGGAATGTACATTCCAGTCTGTGGGCCATTGGTTTTTTCCCACATTTACTGGCATATTCTTGTTAGGATTTGGACCTATTCAGTAGGACCTGTAGTTTGGAATAGATTTATTGGTATTCTATCTACTCCAGGAACTTTGTTCCTTCCAGTTGTTTTCAGCACAGCTTTCACTTCACTTTCTATACTCTTCCTATAAGGATCTTCCTCATAGGATGCCTTCCAAGGAATCTGTCATCCTTTCATCTCTTTTGTATAGTTCTTCTGCATATTGTTTCCACTTTGTATATTCTCCTGGTTGGATAGCATGTTCCCTTCTTTGTTTTTCAGCATTCCTAATTTAGGATTGAATTTCCCTTGGATTTCCTGGATCTTCTTGTTTTTCCTCTTTTGAAGCTCTTTTCTATTTCTTTACACTGGTTGTTGTAACAGTTATTTTTATCTCTATGTGATATTTCTGCTAGTTGTTGAAAAGTTGCTTTCAGGATTTTGACTCTATTCTTGGCACCTTTTGCTTTTACTTGCTTGTCACCTGCCCTTGGCAATTGTGAGTATTTCGTCTGTCATCCATCTTTTCTTTCTCTTTCCTAGATGAATTATCTTTTGTCATAGTTCCCTAATAATGTCTCTAGTTTTAATCCACAGTTCTGGCTCAAGTAATGCAAGTCTGTTCTTTATGTTCATTTTGAATTCCTTGGAAATGTTATGGTTGGTTATGTTGATAGGTTCTCCACTTATTCTGATTGATATTATTTGGTCAGATTTTGTATTGTAGCCCCTTACTGTTTGTGCTAGATCTTGCCTTAATATTAGGGCCACTCCATTTCTTCTGAGTTTGTCATTTCCAGAGTAAAACACTTTGTGTTTGTCTGACTGAATATGAAAATGACTCAAAATTCCAGTCTACTGAAGTTCAGTCACACCAAGTAGTGCAATGTTTAGCTAGTCCATTTCTTGCTTTATGGTTTCCAGTTTGCTTTAATTCATACTTCTGATGGTCCATGTTCTAATTTTATGGGCTGTGAAGCATCATACTTTTCTTTTACCTCTGTGCATATCAACCACTAGACTTCCTTTAGGCTTTAATCTAGGTGCATCATTAGCTAATGTGCTATTCATACTTGTCATTTGCTCTTCTCCAGCAGCTTGTTGAGTGCCTTTGAAAGCGCGGGGGGGGGGGTATCATCTTCTGTCTCTATCTCGTTTCATTTTGGATTGTTCCATCATAAGGTTTTCAGGATAAGAAGATTCAGAAGTGGTTTTCTACTTCCATACTGTACTTAACTGGAATTAGTTTGGATGTCACTGTTGTTGTCTATAAACAATCCTCTGCCAGTGTTTCCTTTAGCTACCACTGCTGCCCAGTAGATGCCCTTCAGAAGTTTCTCCATCTCCATCAGAGAGCTCCATTCTCTTCTGCTGATGTGACTGTTAGTCCTGAAGAGGGTGAACACATTTTAGTCTGGTGCATCCACTTTAACCATTCCACTGAGGGCAACCCTGCCAGAAGATCAACCTAGTGGGTGATCATTGTTGGCCTTCTGGCAACACTGCTCTTAGCTTCTCTGACACTGAAACCCCCTTACCGTGTGAAGGTATACTTTTAAGAGGTGGAATGTATTGTTACTGGGAAGGTATGACTTATTCTGTCCTAAATGGTTATTGTGTGCACACATGCATGATAACATGGTATTGACTCAAGATGGACCTCCAACTGAATGAAAAAGATCATTTTGCAGGATGGCATGATGAGAAACACTATGCAGACCAAAAAAAAAAAAATCATAATTTGCACACACCAATCCATTTTGGAAAGGTCATCTTCATGCTGCCATACAAATCTGAAGCTCCATTACTTTCAAAGTCCTATTCACCCAGCATTATTTTTTAATTTTTAGAATATTAATATAAACCAATCAATAAACATGCAGTTGACCCAGCACACAAATGAAGGGCTTGGAAATATTGGGACTAATTACAGCCTTGGCCTTGTTAAATTATGGAAGACAGAGTCAGGCAGGGGACACAAAACAATTCTTTTTCATGTTCTCTCATGGAAAGAGTTCTCTGCAAGTAAAAAAAGAAAAGAAAACAGCATAGCAGATTGAAAGGTTAGGGTTAGGGTTCTTCCTAGAGGTAGTTTTCACACCAGGGAGCATTCAGTCACATGTAATCTTAAGTGTTACAGTCTGTCTCAGACTTTCATTGCCTTTTTTCTATTTCATCAGGTGAGGGATAAGCTGTGAGAATACTGAGGTAGTGAAATTAGGCACAACCTTTTTCAGTGTTCTCCTATGTTTTAAATACCCGCAAATAGTGAACGAGCATTTCAGGGACAAAAGGTTGCAGCTTAACAACCTTGATAAACTACCTCTCCATTTCAAAGACATACTTTTCAGTTAAGCCTCCTCCCCCATCAGGTTTAAAATGGTATTTTCTGCATGCAGAGTAAAGTGGGACAATGCATTCTACCCCACATGCATGTGAGGTGGATGGGGCAGGTTAATCCAAATGCCCGTGGCCAGAGGGTGGCCAGAATTACCGGACTGGGTGGCACTGGCAGCTGCCCCTGAATGCTGTGTTCATACTTGTGCTGAGTGCCAGACTAATTGCTTAGCCTTGGTTGTAAAGCAAAGCGAATGAGTGCGAATGAGGCTTGGAGATGAAAAGTTTGTATAAGACAAATCAAAGGCAGATGGCTTTCCTGTCAGCACTCACTTGTGACATGCATGCTTTTGTGGTCCTAAGGGACATACTTCAGAGAAGCAAAAAGATAGCCACAAAGCCCCACAACATGTTTTGCTTACTTTAAGCACTATAAATCAGCCACCACCAGTGGCCCCCCTCACTTCTTTTTCCTCCACTGACCCTTTTCTGCAGCTAGATTGCCCATTGACTTTCCCATGGTTTTAAAAGAAGTTTGAGCTAAACCATTCTAACAACCAGGTAAGGCTAATTTTGCCGCCAGAATTAAAAATAACACATATGGAGAAAAAACCCTTAATTTCAGAATACAATTCAGTAGTAAATGCTTATGTATTAAAGTTACCTTCTCTAAACTAGCACCCTCCTAATGCCTTGGACTAAGTCCTAGTGTTCCTAACACTGACTATGTGGACTAGGACTGATGGGAGTTCAAGTTCAAATAATCTGGAGGACACCAGGTTGGACAAGGCTGTGCTAGGGTTAAGGATTTGGCTGTTTCCATGGTAAAATCTGATATTTTGGGTGGATTGAGCAGCTTGCATATCTATCTCATTTCACCTTACTTTAACTAATCTTTTCCACTGTTACTATATAATTTCAGAGATGAGGGAATCATAACTGCACACACAGCTCATCTGTGTACTAATCTGATTTCTTCTTTTCCTTTTTTATTGGGTACCTCTCTGATAGATTGCAAACTAGCAAAAGGTGGGCTAGATGGAACAACCATCAGGTGGATCAGGCTCAAAGAGGGCTCATTGATGACATCTTTTCAAATTGGAGAGAAATAAAAAGGGGGGTACTGAAGGATTCTGTCCTGGGCTCAGTGCTTTTCAACAATTTTAGCAATGATTTGGGTGAGGAAGTGCAGGGAACGATGATCAAATCTGCTGATGACACAAAAACAGAAGAACAAAGATTAACTCAGGAGGTTTTCTATGGTCCCAAGAAGGGGCTGATTCTTGAAATAGTGGGGAAAGTTGGAGAGCTCAAAGCTTAAATAACAAAAAGAGTGAGCTGGGTTTCATGTGGGAAGCTGTGAGGACAGAGTTAAGAACTTGACAGTATTGCTGTTTTCTACGGAAAGTTTTGTATGGCCTGAAAATTTATTTTAATTAATTTTTTACAGAACAATTCCATCTAGAACATTTGACTTTAAGCTATATTTGACCCTTTTAGGCTGTTATAACAAGTACAGAGCTCTAAAAATATCAAATCTAGCTTGCAGACATGTAGAGTGAGGATGCCATTTGTAGGGGGCGGGGAATGGGACAGTGGGGGTGGCAGGGGTTGCATGTGTCCCATATTGCCTACCTTTGATCAAAAGAATGTATGGGGGCATGATTATAAAGAGACTGCGGTGTGATCATTTTCTTAGGAGAAAAAGGGAGACTGTGGATTGGTGATGATTTTACAAGTGAGTGTGTGGGGTGGTGCTAATTTTGAGAGAAGGGAGTGTAAGATATCACTACTTGTTATTTTGGATGAATTAACTGGAAAAGCATCTTTTTTAAAAGATGGGTGCATTCCCTGACACGTTCCCTTTCACAGTGCACCCAAAGCAATATACTGTACTCATAGTGTTAAATATAACCATCATAACAATTCTGTAAATGTGTTAAAATTACCAAAGAATAAAAGCACAGGCTAATCTATAGCAGTCACTTAAGCAAAGTCCTTCAAGTCCATAAACAACAATAAACTACATATTTCTCACAATTGCTAACTGGACTTAAAACCACTCTTTGGCCATAGATATATGTCTATAGGCTCATTTTATGTGGACCAGTTCTCTTCTATAACAAACCTCCACTCTTTCCACACTATTGGAAGGTGAAAGGGGAAGGGATATTTGGATATGTTGAGCAATAGATTCCTCTTCCCTTTCCTAAAACCTTTGTTGAATTCAAGCATCTGGATCTTCTTCCCATTCTACACATGAACATTATACTAGATGTACACAGAACATTTTTGCAACCATCATCGGTGGTTTCATGCTTGATCCTGCTTGTTTACCTGCTTCCCTTTTCTAAAACTTACCTTCAACCACCTGTACTTGATACTGTCTTAGAAAATAGTAGAATGGTGTTTGAAATGTTGACAGAGACAATTCCTTTGGGAATAGATTGAAACCTATTTTTAATCATATACAAGGGCGCTGCACTGGGGAGAACATGACCTTGTGTTTTTGTGGCACAGCTGCTGATACAACTTAGATGCTCTCCTTACCCTTGGGTGACCCTTTCTCTTTTCTTGTTCTGATTTGCAGATAGCGAAATTATTCCTCCTGATTGCCTCCGTCCAAGGTCCTTCACAGCAATCCGTCGACCTTCATTGCGCAGAGAGACGGAGGACACCCGGCTGTCTGTGAGCCTTTGTGACCTCAACCTCCAGGAGGAGAACTTCCATGTCATGGCAGCCATGTGTCCCATCCCACAGAACTCCCTCAACTCCCAGCATTCCCACCTCCTCCCATCCCAGCTTGAAAGTGACCTCCGCTTCCATCAGCTCAGGGGAGCCCATATTAAAATTCTGGATGACCAGACCGTGGCCCGACTGGAGCATGCTCGGGAAGAGAGAACTTTGGTTTTCACTAGCAGGCCACTTAGAATCAATGAGACTATCTTTGTCAAAATTAACAAATCCAACACCTCACGTACTGGGACGCTGTCTTATGGAGTAACCACTTGTGACCCAAGCACTCTGAGGCCCAGTGACCTTCCTTATAATCCGGAATCCTTAGTTGATCGAAAAGAGTTCTGGGCAGTTTGTAGAGTGCTTGTGCCTCTCCAGAGTGGAGATATTTTGGGATTCATGGTGAATTCAGAAGGTGAACTGCACTTGAGCCACAATGGAGCAAATGCTGGCATGCAGGTGTGCGTGGACTGTTCTCAACCACTGTGGATGTTCTTTGGTTTACATGGAGCAGTGATGCAAATCCGTGTCCTTGGTATGTGTGCCTCTTCCCTACATATGGAGGGTTATTTAGCCGGGTGGAATGGAGTGAGTGGGTTACTGCCAACAATATAATATAACACTGGGAAAGGGCAAAGTAAATCCTAAAGCAGACTGGATGTTGGTGATGACAGATGGATAAGGCATGTTTGCTTGTGCAGTAGCTGCAATTTCAGCCAGGGATGCTTGTCAGGACTGCCAATGATAATTTACCAGCAGGGAACAGGGGTAAGTTGTTTTTTATGTATTTTGGGAGACACTTGCCCAGTCCTTCTTTTATTGCTACCTGTGAAACAGAACATATTGAACAGCACTAATATTGCTTACTTTTAGATAACAAAATTTTCAGCCAAAATCAAGAAACTGTTTATAACATTAGAATCTTATGTATGTATAATTGAGGGACACTTTCCTATACTACTTGAACAATACCATTTGAAAGAAAGCCATAGCTTTTCCATGTGTTAGTATAAAAAGCAAACTTTTAAAAAGAGCTTAGCCATGCAACTTAATTTATAATTTAGACATTCTGGTATAAATGTTCATTTTAATGGCTTATTACCAAGATTTGTCTAACAAATTCTGGAAAGCAATTCTTTGTTCCGAGAAATCTAGACCTCAATGTCCATCATTCTCCTTCACCCAATTTTTTAAACAAACAAACAAACAAATACAAACTTATTTTGAGGAAGAACAGAGCTAACAAATAATATCTAATTTCATGAGCTGTGGGTGGTGTATCTGTGTAATGTATGGTATACATATCTCTAATCATTAGTTTACTTTACACTTCATTGACTCAACTGCGCTATTTAAGAATTCTACAGGCTTTCCCATCCATACATAAATCTCATTTGATCTGACTTCCTCATTCACTTCAATGGAAGTAGCAGGGCAGGCTTAGAATTGCTTGTTTGTTTTGTCAGATGCATTTTGTCTTGAACATTTTGGCTGAAGAGATAGGCTGATGTGGATGGTGGCAATTTGTGCATACAGAGTAAGCTGGTGAAACGGGCAGTAAGGTTGCATATTTAGCCCTGTTCTCAGGGCCCCATCTCAGATGAAGAGTGGAAGTAGTGCTGGCTACAAAGTAAGGGGCCTGGAGAGCCTCATGGCCAGAAGATTTATCCATTTCTTCTGGTCTTATGGCTCTCCACAGAGATGATGCAGCACCACCAAAGGTAAAGTAAGGAAGGATGAGAAGAAGAGAATAATGTGACACAAGTTTTCTCCTGCCTCAGGAGGTGAGAAAGCTTGAGTTGGGGCTGCCATGCCACTCCCACACCATCATGATGTTTGTAATAAAGTGTTAAGTAGGGGGACTTATACCTCTTGCCCAGTTATTGCTTGAGGAACCCCAATGAGAATGGAAGGCTACCTGCTTCAGAAGCTAGGTTGAACATGGCATTGGCAAGAGAACACATACAACTTTGTTGATGGGTCTGAGTTTGTGGCCTTCCTGTTACATTCCTTTATTCATTCAAGCAATATGTGACTGGAACTTAAATAAGGGATGGGGAATATATGGCTGTTCAGATCTTGTTGGACTTCAACTGCCATCATCCCTATGCTAGTTAAAGCTGATGGGAACTGCAGTCCAACAGAGTGCCACACACTCACCATCCCTGATTTAAATGGGAATTGTGGCTTCTGTTTCCCAGTCAATGAGTTCAAAAGCAGTGCGTTCTGCTCGGCTGCCCTGCCCAGGTCCTTTCCTCTCACTGAATGCCCTGACGCCAGGAAAGGAAGTGAATAGGACAGAGCAGGGAGGCTGGAGACCACTGCTTCGTTTTTCTATGAGCCCAGCCACTTGCTAAAAATGCCTTTATAAAAAGAGAAAAAGGAAGTGGATGGTGGGACTCAGAGGAAGTCAAAGTCTACTTCAGATTCATTATAGGTTCTATTCTGCCAAGCATATGCATTTATTACAGCTGGGAAAATTTTGTACTGGTGAGGATTTTATGCTATCAATTCATCACTGGAAGGTGACACATGCATCACAGAGCAACCTCATTCCAGTTCAAAAATTGAACTGTCTTTAGGCTTGCAACAATTGTGTTGCCTTGGGAAAATGCTATTAATCAGCAGTTTAAAACAAATCCACTGCAAGAGAAGTTTGCCAAATGCAAACTATGACTGTGCATAAATGTGTCTAATGGGTTTCTTCCTGCCCCCAAGTTTTATGAGCCATGGTTCTAATTTTGGATTTTGGGAAATGGACTCATTAGGAAGAGATAGAATTTTTGCAGACCAATCTTCTGAGGCACTTCACTGCCTAAAGTGGTCAGAAAACTGCAGGGCAGATGGCACTTCAGTATTTCAGTAGAAATCTGTTTCAGAAATAGCTTCTTTAGGGTTTTTGCTGTGTGTCTAAGTAATTAAAAAATGCCTTCAGTGCATCTTGGAAAGACATTAACCCCATTAAATGCTGTGTGTAGCCTTTCATCAGGCTCAAGTTTATTTTTTTTTCTTTGAGATTTAGTCATACATTAGCCATTTTAATTTGTAAATTTGTAAACAAGTCCTAAGGGGATTTAATCCTCCATTGTTAAGCGGTTGTGAATTGACATTATATAATGCCCTGAAGTAGTCTTCTTTTCTTTTTAGCCTCATTTAAAAGTGAAATTATTGTAAAGCGGAATCTGCCCTCTGACAAGGAGTATGGGAAGCTTTCTTTGATGAGACAGATGTGGTATGATAAGGATTAGGGCTGTGGAGTACTCATTGTTTTTCTTTCTCCCTCAAGATGATGATGCTAAGAATGCCCTCTCCTCTGGAATCCCACTTGTGAAGATTGTTATTAGATAAGAAGTAAAAGACAGCTGTTTTTAAATTGAGTGTTTGCACTGCACAGTTTTTATATATGAATGCATGGGGTTGAAATGACTAAAGGCAAAGAACCATATTAATGCTCTGGCATCTGGAATCTGTTCTTGTGATTTATGCATTATCTGTTCAGGAATTTTGAAGGTGACATTTTTTCTTTACTCCTTTCCTTGTTCCTAATCTTGATTATGTGGGTGCCCAGTTCCTCATTTCCCTCTATATAATCTCCCAAGAGACTGGCCTCAGTCCAGCTGTAACGGCAGGCAACCAACTGCTGTAACAGGTTGCCTTGGGTAGGGAATTCCAGGAGCCCATTTCAAGCATTCACCTGGATGGGTGGAGGTGTAAAGTTGGTAGAAGGACAAGACTGTGAATACTGACCTTGGGCCCTACACCTCTTGAATGCTGGCCTCACCCCACAGTTCAACACCCCCCCCCCATGTTGAATCAGCAAGGTATGAGCAGGAGCTCTATTTACATTATCTTCATAGGATCATAGTAAAGTTGGAATGTGCCAAGAAGGCTGCTGGGTCCAACCTCCTGCTGTGGTAGGACACAAACTTACACCATCCCACTCAGAGTGAGAGTGTTCATCCCACTCCTGAAAATGAGCAAAGCTTTCCACTCATAAGGAACTCTAATATTCAGAGCTTCCTCCTTCTACCTACTTCAAGCCCTCCCACATTCAGGCAAATAACTAAAGAGCGGTATTTCAATGGATGAATCTGTCAATCGATTCTGCTTATTTCCCCCCTCCCCAATTTTCATGCATTATGACCATTCTCTCCATTTCCCCTTTTTAAATCTGTACATATTTTCATGCATACTTATCTAATTCTATAAGCATATATGCACTTTTCAAAATATATGCATTTTGGTACACATTTTTTTCTAAATACACACTTTCTGCAAGCAAATTCCTTTAACTGAGTGCTTTTTATGTGGCCCTTTCCTGATTGTACACATTTTTCTGTGCATTTCTCTTTCTTATATGAACCTTTCCACAACTTCTGATTTGCAAAATGAATCACAAACTTCAGAATACTGCTGTTATTGCCATATCACTGTGCTCTGGTAGTGTACAGGCTTGGGAAGTGCACATTTTATACATCTGCCTTAAAACATAAACCCCACAAATTTAGGGGTTTTAGATTTAGATGTATATTCACAAGTGCCTGGAACCCATTTGGCACAACTAATAAGCATCCCAAATCAGATGGCAATATTAATCTGGAAGTGTATCTCCCTCTGTATCAGCTATGCATGGGAGGGAGACTGCTTCCAGATGTGGATCTTTGTTGATTATTATAATTAAGTTGGATTGAGGTAGGATCTCATGTCCAGGTGGAAGCAACCATAGGTGTGTCACAGAGCAAATCCCAGTGATGGAGCAGGTCCTTGCATGCAGAAGACTCCAGTCTCAGTCCTGACCATCTCACGTTAAAAGTTTCTCAGGAAGCAAGTGATCAGAAAGACTCTGGATAATTGCTACCAGTCAAAGCAGACAATCTGAACTGGTCTGAGGTAGCCTCCTAGAGAGCCACCTCTGTAAGTGTAGAAGGATGCTGGATGAGATGCTTCGGCTTTCATTCTCCATCCAGGAATTGCTGTGAGCAGCTTCTTGTGGAGCCTCCTGCACTTTTTCTCCAGTTAGGAAGTGGAGAAAAGAAATTTGGTTGCTCCCTCCCTCCCCGGGCTCATCTGTTCTCAGGGATATGGGCAAGGTAATATGCACAGGTAGTAGTGTGAAAGCTGCTGGCATGACAATTGAATCAAGGACAAATGAGTTTGACAAACAAACAAACAAACAAACAAACAAATGATGTTATAGCCAAGGGGCTCTCACATTGCATTTTATGCCTTCTACCTGTGCAGGAATAGAAATTAATAGTCTTCATCATCAGAATAACAAAACATCTCTGGAAGACACGGAACATCAGTAATAAATGATACAAATTATCTCCCTTATTTTCTCACAACTTTGCCTATGTCTGCTGAATAAACTGGATACTGGTTAATACACCATCATCTTTGAATGATGGTCTGACTGTCAGGATAAATAAAGCTTTCGTGTAACTTGTATGAATGTAGGAACAAGTCAGTTTTTTTCCCTATTTACCAAGGTGACATAATAGACGAAATGTTCTGAGACCAGCCAGGTTTGTGCTT